TCCAGGCTATTCTCCGTGTGAGAAGGCATCTTGCAGACAGATGTCAGGGATGAAGGAGGGGCTAATTTTGGGTCTGGTTTGACCTTTTTTGTCATCTGCTTGGCTTTCTAGTCCTCAGAATGGCCACCCTGGACCTGAATGAAGGAGTCCTCCTGGATCAGCAGCCTAAGGTTCAATCTGCAGTTGAGGAGCCAGCAAACTCGCGTGAGCACAGTCAGTCCTCTGATCTTGGTCTGGGTGGGGCGCCCAGGGACCTGGACTCCATCTCCAAAGTGCTTGGAGTGTAATGCAAGAAGGCCTTTTTCATGCTATTGACAATAAAGAGACAAATAGGAGGCATTCTCTGGAGTACAGCCCAAGGGAGTCAGGGACCAGAGATCTGATACATCTAATGATGTGGGAACGGTCCCAGAGATGTATTGGGGATGCCAGTGCCTTCTTGGGGTTGGTGAATCATTGAGTTATCCATTCTAGTGAGTGAATCTATTAATTAATCGAGCAGTTCAGCATATGGGACGAGTGAGGAGACCGTGCTCTTTCCTGGATCGATGATGATTCCTACCGGCGTATGAGTCATCGATGACGAGCAATAGGTGTCTGTGTCTGGAACGCTGAGGTGCAGTCCAAAAGAGTGTCTTCTCTCTCTTCAAGCAAAGAGTGTCTCACTTTACTGTCGTCTGCTGTGCTTCATGCTCTTCAGATTGGATGCGCTTGATATGATTTAAACATCTTCCCTGGTCATGACCTCTGGCTGCATCTGTGTGTGCAAATATGGAGACCATGTGAGTAAAAGTCAACGTTTTAGTTTGAGTGGTTTGTTTAGAGGTATTCACTGTATTTTTTAAACATTAAATATAATCAAAGAAGAAAAATAATGCCAAAATTAACTATTAGATTCATGTGAAATATTCAATTTATTAATCTATAAATGTACCTTCGAGGTCAGTTTAGGAAAAAGTTAGTCTCTGTGGAAAAGATTTTAGAGATACATATTAAGGATCTTTAAATATTTTATTTATGTGCATTTATTAATGAATTAATCAACAAGCAAATGTTTATGGGAATGAAAAGAAAGAATGCTAATCATGGATCAGTAATAATGACTGGTCGCAGGTGAGTCGTGGACGATGAATAACGTACGTCTGATACTGTGATCCAGCATACTGCCTAGTGTATTTCTTTTATTTGATCCTATAGAGAAATGTTAAGATATACCAAATATAGGTATTTGGCTTTTAGGTTTAGATTATTAATGGATTAATTATAGAACATTAAATAAACATAAATAATAGGTAAAGAAAAAAGGGTGAAGCATTTTCTCTCTATAAACTTGTGGCCAGGCCAGAAATAGTATTAAAAATGAAAAATACTGAAACTCAGTAAAGGAGTAAATGGATCAAAATTGGCTCTTTGACTAAGAATCATATAAATATAGATAATTAAGAGCAGTTGTATTGTTGTGGGTCTGCCTCAAGTGAGCTGTTGTCCATTTTGGTAAGATAAAAATATCTACAGTATGAATAATTTATAAATAGCTAAATGAGTGAGTAAATGAAATGTAGAAAGGAAGAATCAGTGGAGATGAGAATTTAACTTTTTAAAAAAAATCACCATCTGTGCTTTGTACTTCTCAGAATGGACGCAAGCTGACTTAAGCCGCATACCGTGGCGGCAAACTCTGTGAGTCAGGAGCACAGGGACCAATGTGAGCGATGGTTAAAGGCTCGCGTGGATTTCAGCGATTCTCTTGGTGGGGTATTTACTGTGTTGTTAAAAAGTCCTGTATATAAGAGGAATGGCCACCTCTAGACTAGTGATGAATACCGAGTTGATACGAAACATTAAAACAAAGAATGTGAGGAAATACATTGATGTGAAAGTAATTCTGTATACAGAATAGGGATTTCAGAGCTTTCCTGGCTTTTTGTGAATAATTGGGTTTTAAAGTTAATATCAGTCAATTAATAAATTTGTCAGTAAACACTGTAGAAGTGAATGAAGAGACTAGGCACAGCATTGGATCGATGATGACTGCTCGGTGCGTTATGAGTCGTATACGATGAATACGTGTCTGGAACTCTGAGGTCCAGTGCAAATGGATTCTGGCCCGTTGTCCCTCTTTCAGGTTATCTTTTAGACACACATCAGGAGTATACAAGGATCTTGATGTCTGTTTATTTTTATAATTGGATCAATGCAATAGCAAATAATAGATAAAGATGAAGGTGGTGAAACTTTGTCCAATTATAGAAATATATCATTAGGCAAGAAAGATTATTAATGTGTATTGAAAACAAATAGCTATTAGGAAATATATGGTCCAAGGATGTTATTCTTTGACTATTGATGATATAATTTTTGATAAATAGAAAATTTATGTTCATGTTGATGTCAAGATCAGTATTACTCATTCACTCAGGAGAAGAAACTATAAATTATCCCAGTTCACTCCTTACCTAATTGACCGACTAAATGAAAGTGGAATTCAAGGGCTAATGAAAGTAACTTTTCTTTTTTCTTCTACTTTGTCTCATACTCCTTAGAATTGTCCCATTGGGCTGATCTAAGCTTTCCCCTGTGGCTGCCTCTGTGTTAAGAGCTTGGAGAGCAATGTGAGTAATGGTCTAAGTTCTTTCCTTGGTTTTGTGGTTTTATTTTTGTAAGTTTTTCACTGTATTCCAAAAACATATGAAATGTAATTCATGACTGTCAACCATGGCCACACAGTACAAGTAAGGTTAATATGAGGCATTATATGGATTAATCTCTACAGGAGACTCTGGGGTCAGTGAATAACAGGTAAGTATGTTCTATGGGAAGTAGTTTTATAGACAAATGAAAGTGCCAAAGACCTTGTTTGTTTCAAGTTTTTGTGACCATGAAGCATTTATTTCATTATTAGTGAATTGATGAATTAATCAATAAGACATGTAGAAATGAACGAAGGTCAGAAAGGCCAAATCTGGGTAAATGATGACGGCTCGTGGTGTGAGTCTTGGGTGATGAGCCCCTCAGGTCTGGGGCTCTGAGGTCCAGCAGAGAAGAAATCTAGTACTTGTGCTTGTTGGGAGTGGTCCTATAGGGAGATGCCAGGCACAAAGGAGAATCACATTCTCAGTCTTTGTGTACGGGAGTATCTAGTAGTAGTAATAGAAAAAACACAGCAGCAGGATTGGTAACCAAATGTGTGGCGGGTAAGCATGAAGAGAGGAAACAGTGTTCATTGTTAAAGTATATAACAGAGAAATAGGGTGATATAAATTGGAATGGAAAATAAAGTGATCGAGTGTGTACGTCTTTGAGTGACAGTGATAGTGATGATAGTTGTTTACTGATTCAGGTACAACTTTGACATCTGATTTATTAAGAAAAAATAAATATTACCCGAAATTAATAAATGACTATGTAAGTGAACGGTGCAAGCTTTCAGTCAGTGGAGAGGCAGCCTCAACACCTCTGTCCCGTTGTCTGCATGGTATGCTTCCGGACCGACGCTGGAGCTGGTTGCAGCTTCTGTTGTCATCCAGAGTGTCCTGCTGCCTCCTGGTGTGGGAGGAGACCAAGGTGACAACGGTCAAGGTTGTCCTGGTCATATGTTTAAGGGTATTTACAGTATTTTTAAAAAATATTACATTAATTTAAAAGTTTACCATGGCCTAATGATGAATAGGATAGGAAACCTTATGTTGACTAGTTGATAACGTGCAGAATTGAGGTCTCTTAATGAAAAAGGTATAGTCCGTGTGGGAAACGAGTCTGTAAACTGATGTTAGGGAAATTCTAGAATCTTGTTCTGGAGTTTTTATGAACCATGTATTATTTTTATCCTTATCAATGAATTCATAATTTAATCAGTACAAACATACAAAGGAGAACAGGCCAAATCTTGGACCAGTAATGATGACTAGTGACATAGGAGTCATAGATGATGAAAAAATATGTGTCCGAAACTCGGAGGTCCAATGCGAAACAAAATTAGCCTACTCCTTTGTTGAAATTATTTCTATAAAGAAATGTCAGACGTATGCAAATATCATATTCTTGTACTGATTTCATAGCCTTGGATTTGTCATTATTAATAGAATCATGATAGAATCATTAGACAATATAAATGAAGATGTAAAAAGAATAAGGAGAAGCACTGTCAAAGGTGTTACGAATAAAGGTGAAAACATTAATGCCTAGTAAGAAATGAGCGGGTGAAGAGTCTGCCTCTGTGGCTGAGGACCATAAAGACACTAATAAGGAAATGTTTTTATTTTTCTGGTTCAATCTCAAGATTGAGTTTTTCCTTTTGTTAAGATTTAAAATATACATATTTAGGGAAAGCAATACATAACCTAAATACTGAGTTAATAAAATATGGAAAGCAAGGATCAATGGTGATTAGGTATCAATTTTTTTGCCATCTGCTCTGTGCTGTTCTCCGAACAGATGCACTGGTGTTGATTTTAGCATCTTCAGTGGTCGAGAGGCCTGTGGTTGCCTGTATATAATAGGAAAACAGAGATTAATGTGAGTAATGGTGAAATTACTTTCTTGGTTTCAAGAAAGTTGTTGTTTTTTTTAAGTTATTCATGTAAAAGTGGAAAATATGTCTTAAGAGTGCAACTCTACCTCAGTGATAAATATGGGATATTGTTACCATTATATTGATTAATGTATATAAGAAAAACTGAAGATAATTAATGAGAGATACAGTGTTGTGAGAATGATTCTATGTATAGATTAGGGACATAAGAAGTATTCCTGAGTTTTTGTGAATCATAACATTTAAAAATTATTATTGGTGGAGCAATTATTTAATCAGCAAACCTATAGAAATGAATGAGAAAAAGAAGGGCAGTATTGGATGAATGATGAGCAGTGAGGGTGTATGAGTCACATGTGATGAAGACACGTCTGGAACTCTGACGTCCACCATGAAAGAAATCTAGTTCGTTGTCTCTGTCTGAATCGACTCCTTAAACTGATGTCAGGAATGTACATGGAAAAATAATGTTATATTACTTGGAATGGACGATAAGTGTATCATGCACATTTTTCCCGGCGTGTTTTGTCTTTGATGAAGGGCTGTTATAGCGCCTGTAAGGAATAGTCAGCTATTGCTGAGTCAGTTTCAAGTTTGACAATTTGATTTATTAAGAAAAATATATTAACCTATATTGATAAATACCAGAACGACTCTATAAATGGATGATATAATCTATGGATCAATGGATAGAACGTGTCCCTTTTTTTTTTTTCATTATTGGCTCTCCTCTTTACTCCTCAGAATGGACACACAAGAGCTTGTGTAAGGATTCTTTGAAGGTCAAAAGCTGTATGGTTGCATCTTTGTATTAAGAGTATGGAGAACAATGTGAGTAATAGTCAAAGTACTTGACTTGGTTTGAGAGGTTTTTTAAAAACAACTATTCACTGTATTATTAAAAAGTATTGAATATTGTCAAAGAAGACTGACCATACTGATGTTTAATATTGGGCTGATATGAAGCATTACATTGATTAATTCATGCATGGAACACTGAGTTCAGTTAAATGAAAGAGATGATTGAAATGAATGATTCTACAGGCAGAAGTTACAGGATCTTCAGAATCTCATTTTTGTTCTTTGTAACTTACATGTATTTCCTTATTAATGAATTAATAAACAAATATAGATGAGAATGAAGAGAAAGACAGCCAATTATAGTCTAATGATGACGACTGATGGCACGCAGTCATATATGCTGAATTCTGTGTGTCTAGGACTGAGTCTAACACAAGAGGACTCCAGTCCATCTGTCATATTTTAAGTGACTATAGATAGATTTTGGAATTTCACAGTGATCTTTTTCTTGGTCTTTTTGCTCATGAATTTTAATAATATAAGACAATCAGTGGCAGACTAAATTAGCAAGTGTGTAAATGAATAAAGATGAAGAGGGTGAAGCATTGTTCATTAATAAAATATGTAGTCAGGAAAATGAGTATTAATGTATACTGGAATACATAATAGAGGGACCAAACATATTATGTCTTGAACTAAGGATGATATTGACAGTGGTAGGTCATAGTCAGTTATTGTCCTGAATCAGTTGCAAGTTTGATGTCTACTGTATCAGAAGAAAAAGAAAAATTACCATAAAGTAATAAACACTTAAATGACTATGTACGTGGAGGATGGAAATTGTGAATAAATGGAGAGAAGAGAATGTCTAAACTTTTTTTTATCATTATGCCTGGTGGTGCTCTTCAGAATGGATGCACTGAGCTGATCTTAGCTCCTGTCATGATCAAGGTTATGTTGCCTTTGTGTCAGGAAAGAGAATAAGGTGTGTAATGGTAGACAAAGATAGTATCTTGATTTCAGTCCTTTGTTTAATAGTATTCGTGGCATTATTAAAAAGTACTAAACATAATCAAAAATTATCCATGGCCCAATAATGGATATAATAGGAAACATCCTATTGATTAATCAACATTGAAGTCTCTTAGAGAAGAAAATACAGTGTATATGGAAAAAGATTCTATAGACAGACTTCAGGAATATTTAAGGATCTTGTTCTTGTATTTTCCTCAATAATGTGACTTTTGTCAATATCTATGAATTAATGATTTAGTCAATATAAATGTAAAACAAATGAGGGTCTAATAATGGACCAGTAGTCCTGACTGGTGGCATATGAGTCACTGATGATGAGTACTACTGTGTGTGTGGGACTCTGAAGTTCAACCCAAGACCTAGTCTGCTCTCTCTGTTTGAAACGATCCTACAGACAGATGTCAGCAACGTACAAATATCATGTTCTTATTTTAGATTCATAGATTAAAAGATTTACTATTATTAGTGAATCAATGAGAGAACCATTAAATATAACTAAATAGATAAGGAAGAAGAGGGTGAAGCAATTTGCAACATGAACATATGCCGTGAGGCAAAAAGTATTACTAATAAAAACTGAAAGCATTGATGTTCATTAAGAAATAAATGATTCAAGAATGTTACTGCTTTGGTTTAGAATCGTATAGACATTAGTAAGAATCCATTTTTTCTGTACTGGATAAGTTCCAGACTTGAGGTGATTCATTTTGTTAAGGGAAAAAATATATTTAGGAAAAATTAATACCTCCACGAGTAACTGAAATGCAGAAATCAAGGATCAATGGCTGATTTTTTAGCTTTTGGTTTCTTGTTCTCCTTTGTACTCTTCAGAATGGAAGCACTTGGGCTGATTCAGCATTCCTCCCTGCTCAGGAGCTCTCTGGTTGCGTCTATGTGTTAGGGGTGTGAAGTCCAATGTGCGTAATAGTCCAAGTTCTTATCTTGGTGGGTGGTTTGTTTAAGAGTATTTAAAATATTATTTAAAAGTGTAAAAAATAATCAAAGATGGCCAACTGTAGACTAGCAATCAATAGGAGATGTGATACATTATATTATTGAATAGATGTAAAACAGGATAATTAATGGAAGAAGTATATTATGAGAATTATCCTATGTGCAGAACAGGTACATAAAAACTCTTCTTGGGTTTTTGTGAATCATAATGATTAAAAATTATTACTAGTGAATTAGTGATTTGATCAATAAAAAATCGAAATGAGTGAAGAAAAAGAGAGGCACTGTTGGATCAGTGATGACTGCTGGTGGTGTGTGAGTCGTGTACGATGAATACGTGTCTGCAACTCTGAGGTCCAGCAGGAAAGAGTACCATAAAGTAATAAATGTTAACCGAGTGAACGAAAGGTGGGCTGCAAATGACCAATGCGTAGGAGATCTCAAATTTTATTTTGGCTTTTTTTCTTTGTACCCCTCAGAACGGTCAGTCCTGCTCTCATGTTTGCACTCTGCCATGGCATCAAGTTCAGTGGTGTCTTAGGAGCGTGGAGACAGTGTGAGTAATAGCCAGAGTTCTTGTCTTGGTTTGGGTGGTCTAAGGCTGGACAGTGCACTATTAAGAAGTGAGAAATGTAATCGAAGAAGGGTAACCACAGTCCAATAACAAACATGGGACTGATGAAAATGTTATGTTGAAGCCTGTGTGTGTGAAACAGTGAGGTCAAATCGAGAAGCATCTAGTGTCTGGGAAAAGATTTTATAGATAGCCATCAGGTGTATCGAGGCTCTGGTTCTCGGTTTTTTCTGATTCATGTGTATTTCTGTATTAGTAAGTAGTAAAATGATAAATACATCAGTGGGGAAAGTATGGATGAAGAAAAAGATTCACGTGCTTGGACCTTTGATGATGGCTGGTGGAGTCAAGGATTATGAATAGTAGGTGTGTGGACAAAGGAAAGCTGGTCTATTGCTCTGTTGGGAAAGATCGTCTAGACAGTTGTTACGAACATTCAGTTATCCTGTTTTTGTGCTTTTGTGGGTCAAGGATAATGATTATATTGTTCTAAGCAAATTAATGCATGAAAGTTTAAGAAACAGGAATAAGTGAATAAGAGATGGCCATGCCTGGAGCAACTATAGCTTACGCAATGAAACAGGTGTCAGTGCTAATCACTTTTGAGGAGCTGGGATTCATGTTTTGCTTATCTCTCAGAATGCAGCACATGTAGACAGGTGTCTGAACTGCCAGCGTTCACATTCTGGGCTGTCTTTGGTGTGCAGGTTGTTTCTGTTCTATGACTAATTAGGAAAAATGTTTACAAAATTAAATAAAAGATTAAGCACTATTTAAATTAAAGAAGGCCAGTGATAAAAATTTGTCATGCACCGAGAGCTATTGTGTTCACTGAATTCCATTACCGAGTTCCTTAGTCTGTTATCACTTTGGTAATGAGCAGCCGACTGCGCATGCGTAACTATTATTCCGTGCTATTGCATTGAGTGTGTGCAATTTTATCATTACAGTGAATAAATGAATAAGTTAATAGCAATCGGTAGCTCAAAGGGACAAAACATGGGCCAGTAATGAGTGTGTCTTGAAATAATTATGATTTAACCAGTTCCACTCAGATGATGTCCCTCTTAAGACAAAAGTTGAGGCTCCTGCAAGTTCGGGAGAACATAGATACACACAGTAGCATTTCTCTTCTGGGTTTCTGAGGCTTTAAACATTTTTCCATTTTTTCTAAAGAAATGAATAATGTTCCCAATTAATTTATGAATTAATTAATAAATAAAGTAGAGTTAAGCATTGTTTGTTGGTATGAAATTGCCTTGGAACAAGCATTTAGATGACTCTAATTCTGCACAAGTTAGGCTCAAAGATGTAGGCGGGTGTATGTCTGGGGGGAGCATTGAGACGGATGTGCCTCAAAGACAGCTCTGGTTCTTGATTCAGGTGGAGGATTCAGAGGTGTCCATTGTTCTGTGTAAAACTGATCATTGAATTAATTACATAAAGAGGGGTGTTTTTGCCAGGCGTAGCAAGTGGCATGGTCCCAAGTTTAAGATTAGTCAAAACCTGCTCCCCCTGCACCTGTTGAAGTATTAGAGCAGAGCTGAAATCTAGGATGTTTCATTCTTTTTACCACTTGCCTTCTACTCCCCAGACTGACTCCTCGTTGCTGAAGGTGGTGGCTGGGGAGTCTCTGGGCAAGAAGCCTGCAGGCTTACGTCAGTGGTGCACACAGTTCTCTTCCCTAGGTGGACAGTTCACTCATGGGTGTCCACCGTATTACAAAAAATGGATAAATGGCTACATCTGTACACGATATTTTAAAAGACCGAGGATTAGAATGCACTCCCCACCGAGGATTAGGGATGACCAGTCAGGGTAAAATCACGTGTTTTTTATTTAATATCATACCGGAACAGTGAGGTTCATTAATAAGTAAGCAAACCAGAGATGTTACCTCTTTGGGGTCATTTAGACACAGAATAGTCATAGTCAGTGTTCTGTCTCTAGACCACCGGTGAGTTCTAGTTTGTTTGTTTTATTAAGAGGAACGGAAGTAAATAATTACATGAGTTAATTAATTAACTAAATAGCAAGCAAATCAAGGGGGAAAACATGAATCCATGAAGAGAATTTTGTACAGCTCCCTTTTTTCCCCAAAAGATAGCTCTCTCATATGTTATTTACAATTTTTGAACTTATAAAAGAATGCATATTCATTTCCCCCTCCATTTAAACATTTTTATTTATTTGTTTTTGCTATCTGCTTTTTACTTCACAGAACGGATGTGAGCGTAATCGTTCTGTGATGGTCGAGACCTGTGTGGCTCAATGTGAGTAACGGGCAAGTTCTGTCCTGGCTGGGTGGTCTGTTTAGGGTGCTCAGTGTCTGATTAGGAGGTATGGACTGTTTTTGATGGCTGTTCGTCTCACTACTTGTAACCCTAGGTAGTGGGATTTTAGTCCATCACACAGCAAGCAGATCTGTTTTCACTCAGAGCACCATGCGGACAGCTTGTCTGTCTGATAGTGACTTCTGATTTTTGCAGGTCGAACAATTGAAAAATAAAAAAGTATGGGGTATAATCAAAGCAGGCCACATAAGGACCAATGATGAGAGTGTGTCATAAATTGAGGTTCAAGGTGAATCTGATTCAGCACAACACACATCCTTTGAAAAAAAGAAGTTCTAACCTCTTAGTTCTGGGGGTCAGGGACTCATAGCCTCTTGTCTGCAAGACTCACAGTTCTTCCTATGTTGGATAGTTCATTTAAGGGTGCTTATTATATTATTTAAATGAATAAAATTCATTCTTATCTCTGGTTCCATTTTAGTAATGGAGCCAGAGATAAGGATGTGACATAAAAAAAGAATCTGGCATGAATCATTGTTTATAACTAATTTTTGTCATGGTTACCTCATGTTCACTAAATTAAAACCCAGACCTGGCCTTTTCATTTGCCAGCATCTCTGCATCCCACAGGATGGTTGCATGGTAGTTACTGAAATTGTTCTCCAGTCGTGAAGATCTTGGTCTTATCTCTATGGGGAAGGAACGAATCCTGCCATGTGAGTAATAATGTTCTTGGTTCGGGTGGTTCACTCATGGGCTTCCATTATATCATTATAAAAATAATAAATGTAATTAAAAATTTAAATGCCGTGCATTGACCTATGATAAGCATGTGTTATGAACCAAGTTGATGAGTAATGCAGTTTAGCACACATGAGGTACACGAAGAAAAAGACACCTAACTTCCTCTATTCATTTCCAAACTTAAATGTCCCATTTTATGTTTTTCCCATTGATTATTTACACATCTCTCTCTTAAATAACTCCTAAGCTGTTACTCATTTAGGGAGTCAGTATTCCGGCTGTTGAGTAGGATGGTGGGTTCATGGTTGTTAATTGCAACATCTAAACAGTGTTCAAATTAAATGCAGAAGGGCCACACCTGGACCAATGATGTAAATGGAATGCATCTGAATAAAAATTATGATCAATCATTTTTTGAACCACTGAGGTCCATGGCAAAAGGAGAATTAGTGCATGACTTTTTGGGGAATGATCTCAGGAAAGTTTGAGGATTGACAGGTTCATGGATATTGATTTTACATTATTAGTGAACAAACAAACAAACATCCAAAAGAAAAGAAAGAGAGGCCCAAACACGGACCGGTTTTGAGGATGTGTTCTAGAATGAGGAATTACTTCAATTCTGAAATACCTTGGTCCATTAAGAAAACACGTACATAAAATTGTTCCCACTTTGTGTAAGTAGTAGCTAGAGAGAGGTATTTAACAGTCAATGTCTGCTCTTAGCTGAAAGGAGTTACTAGATGCTTGATTCATGAAGAAAAAAAAATTAGGATTAACTAAATGTTTAACTAAATGAATGAGTGCAAGATATGAACCAGTGATGAGTGTATTTTATTCTTTTTTACATCTGTTTGGTACCCTGGAATGCCGTACCTTGGTTGGTTCAATCATTAATGATGAAGGTCTTGACTGTTAACTATATGGTCGAGGAGAGTACAGATCAGGGTAAGTTTTTATTCTTGGTTTGGTCCTTTTGTTTATGGATGATGACTATATTATTTAAAAAGAACAGATGGCTAAATGCAATAATAAATTAAAGAAGATTATGCAAGGACCAATGGTAAGAATTTGATAGGGATTGTGGTAAATTCATTTTGCAAAACTGAGAAAAGATAGATTTCCATTAAAAAAAATTAAACAAGAATTTAGTCAGGTTACCTATTTTTACCATTCTGTTTAAGAAATATGTAGAGAGGCTTAATAATTAAAGTTTTCCCTCTTGTTTGGAAGTTGATTCTTTGCTATTGACTTTCTTTTTGAAAATGAGTACCTGACTAAATTAATAACTCAGGAAAAATCAGTTTATAAAGAAGATTAAAATGATCAAGAGAATTCCAGCGATAAAATTTTATGAAATGAGAACTGTGATCACCCCAATTTTGCCTGTCTGAGATCCATTTAACCAAAAAAGATTTATTAATCTGTTACTTCTGTGTATAATGAAGACAGACATAGATGTGAGAATATTCATCGTTTTTGTTCTTTTATTTTGGTGGGTTCATGGGTGTTAATTATTATTATAAGTATTGTAGTTTAATAAACCAATCTGTGGGAAATTAAATCAGAAGAGATCAAATCATGGACCAGTGATGAAAATGTGTTTTGAAACAATGGTTATAATTATTACAATTCTGTACCACTGACATTTATGAAATAAAGAAAATATTTGTTTTAATAGTATGAGTATGTATTAGTGCTCTGCATGTTGTGCTGAGATAATTTGGGTATTTTTGCTTGCTGCTTACCTGGGTTATTTCTTTCCCCTGTTGCAGGCACAGATACTAGTGACCTGATCTGTTTGGAGGGGATGGCAGGAAGCCCCGATCGCCCATATTTAAAACTTTCCTGGCATTTGGTATCCGAGAGAGTGCTTAATTGATAACTGGTTTCAAGGTATTAATTTCAGCTCAACAAGTATTGATCCCGAGCCATGCCAGGCTCTGTGTTGGCCATGGCGTTCCTATCTAAATCTCCTCTTGTCCCAGCCACCAGGAAGCTCTTTGGGATTAGGAAGAGACCTACTTATAAATGTAATAATTCAATAGACTAGGGCAAGTAGAAGTGCTTTCAGAAGCACAAGAGGCAGGCCCTCAGCTCAGTCTTCAGCACCAGATGCTTTATACAAGAGCTGATGCCTGAGCCAATGACCCGTCCCTAGGCTGTGAGGTCCAGGAGGTTAGGAATAATGCTCCTCCTCTGCACTGCTCTGCCCACTGTGGCCAGCGCATGGAGCGCGTGTGACACACGTTTGTCGAATGAGTCATTGAATAACGGATGAATGAAATAAAGATTGAAAGAATGAAGCAGTGAGTTAGTGAAGGAATCAGTCTTTCAGTAAATAAATGCAAAAAAGTGAGGAAGTGTGAAGGAGTATGCGAATGAGTGAACAAATCGATAATGTGTTGAGTCACTAAATACATAAGTGCATGAATGTATGGCAGATGAATGAGTGGATGAGTCCACGTGTAAGTGGAAATGTCAAGAGGTGGATGGTGAGTGGCGAATAAGTTGCCGAGTGAATGATTGAAAGACTCGGAGGTCAACGCGCCAATAAGTGAAAGACGAGTGCGCAACTGGATGAGTGAGTTCATGAGTAGACTCCTGAATGAGTTCATGAGTGAATGGCTTCATGGGAGTTAATTAGTAATGAGGGAAGGAATGAGCCAGTGTGTCAGCGTATGAATCCATCAGTGATGGTCAATGAGGGACCAAATGAATTAATTGATTAACCAGTCAGAAAATGAGTGAGTGCATAAATAAATCAATGAAAAGAGGACAAAGTTGAATAATTTAACTAATGAGTAAATAAATAAGTCAATGCATGAGAGAAATTAATGAGGGGGTGAATAGGCAAATGGCTGGAGGAATGAATACATTAGAGTTGTTGAATAAAAGAATAATTATTGAGTGAGTAGATGAGTCAGTGAATGGGTATGCCATCCAAGAGTAAATGAAGTGCTTTGTGAATGAATGAGTGAATAAGTGAATGAGTCAGTAAATGTGTGAGGTCAATGCTCCATGTGTGAGATAATGAGTGGGTGAGGTCACACTGGCTTCCTTCCCTGACCACACCACAGTGAGTTAGCCACACCCCAGCCCCACAGCCCATTATAAACTCCTCACAGAACACCCACCCTACTCTGTCCTGGGCACTTGTTTACATGTCATCATTAAACTGATCTGCCCCGAGAGCCAGGAACTGGGTCAAATTCTTCTCTGTATCCCAGCCTGAGCCTAGGAGGCACCCAGTAATTTATTGCTGAATGAATGAACCAATAGCTAAAAATACATGTGCTTTTGTGGAGCCAGGATAGCCCTTCTCAGAATGGTCTGGGGGCTGTTCTGCGGGGAGTTGTGTCAGATGGCCTGCGGCATCCTCCCATGCAAGTCTGGGTTCTCCCCTAAGTCCAGCTTCCTGTGTCCAGTGCCAGACAGTGAGACAGAATACTGGCAGTTCTGACTGCCCTGGACACTGGCCCACCCTTGGGCAATGTTGGCTTGAAATGGTGGAATGGAAGCCCTGGGTCTTCCCGAAAGCTGCCCTTGCCTCTGCCAAGACAAGAGATCGAAAATAACCCAGGCTTGTTTTTATGCCTCCAGTGAGTGGGCCCACGCATTGCCTTTCCAAGCAAACCAAGTTCCTCCCGATTCCAACTGTGGGACTTTGGGTTAGGCTGGACACACCTCTGGGCTTCCAGCCTCAGCGTCACCTCTTAGAGGAGGGTAGCTGGTACCTGCCTGGCTGAATCGGTGCGAGGATGCACCTTGTCTGATGAGAACTATTACAAGGCCCTTCTGTGACCTAATGCCTGCCACGTGCGTAGTGTGGTGCCTGGAAGGGAGTAGATGCCTCAAACATTACCTGGTGGAACTGAAATGAATGGTTTCAACTTCATTTATTTAAAGGCTCCCAAATGGATATCCAAATCCCCCCATTCCAGAAGAATGGAGAGTTCAGCTGAGTTCCGGAAGAATGCCAGTTTGGATGGGACAGGCCAGCCCAGCCCACGCACCTCTAAGGCAGCATAACATGCCCTTCTTCCGGGGACAGACAGCCTGAAATGTGAGTTGGCAACAGTTCTGCACCACTGGGGGCATTTGCCCAAGACCCATCGTCCCTCCTTGCTTCCCTCCCTCTGTCCTTCCTCTCTGCCATCTCTCCCTCCCTTGAGCAATTAATTTGACCAGCGTCTGCTATACGCCTGACACGACCACTCCCCTCCCCCTCCTGTCCTGGCCGGCTCCTGACCTTGGATTCCGTCTCCCACTCCGGGTCTTGCATCTTTCTGTTGAAATTGGTGACAGTACTTGGTCATCTAGCTTGGAAGATAGTCATCTCTTTCACAAGGGCTTGGTGTCAGCTCAAACCATCAGTCTTTCTACTTTGTGCTGAATCAGGTAGAACTACCCCCTTCTGAACTGTGGACAGCTGAGACTCTGGTCTTTGTTAGTCTCCTGGCTTGACTCTCTCCCATCTTGGCGAACTCCAGTCTCTCCTGAGAGGGGTTTGGGCTGCGCTGGGAGCAAGTGGACCTCTAAATGCTGAGGACAGGCCGCAGGCTCAGCATGGGTGGCTTTTGGCTGGAATCCAAGATTTGATTGGCAAGTATGTGTAGACAGAGGAACCAAGGTCTCACGTGTCCCCAGAACCCTGGGCAAATGAGGTGTCCTAGCCTTGTAGCAGCCAACGGCTGACTCTCACCCGGCGTTTGCCGCAGCTGCTAAGCTTTGTGCAAAGCTATGCACAGGTGTGGCCTGCCTGTCACCCCCCTGTAAGCCCCTGCCCTCTCCTTCGGCTTCCACATCCCTTGTCCAGATTAGATCTTTCTTATGTGTCCATCCTTCGTTCAGACCACTGACAGGATCCCTACCACATCATTAATTACTAGCTACCAGTTTCCCCCGAAGGGGTACGGGCTTCTTGAGTGCGGGGCCTTTTATTTTTGTGTCCTGATAGCCCTCCAGAAGGCCTAGGCATCGGAGAGACCGGGTGAATTAATCATCCATTCTTTCATTTACTAAAAAAAAATCAAGCCCCTTCTATGATGCCAGCGGCTGGGTGATAAATAGCAAGAAATAAGATGTGTCCCGTCTCTGCCCCGGTGGAGCTTCAAGTCTGGGGTGGGAGCTAGATTTTAAACAAAGACGTGTGGCAAAATCGCTTAACTACACAGGTGCCCGGGAACTTGTTAACCTGCCAATGGGGCTGCTCTTGACCCTCATAAGAAACTCCCCCTGCTTCTCTCCCATGTTTTGGCGGCGGAGGGGCGGGGGATACTGAACGAAGGACAAGGCCATAGCCTCGGTGGGAGCTGGTCGATGGCTTTGGCTCCCTGGGGTCAGTCAGATCAGTGGGTTCTTTGAACATCCTTGGAGAAAACAGAGACAAGTGGATGTGGGAGTTAGTGCAGCTGCTGCCTGGCCACTTCTTGGGCAGGTGGGACCAGCCAGCCGCCCACTGCGTTCACTCAAGCATCATGCTTATTATGGAAGGCTCTGTGGAGAGTCGGGGTTTGATCTCCCCTGTCCACTTTAAAGTATTTCTCCTCGATGCGTTGCCAGATGGCAGTAGTGAGTGGAAGGGCGGATGCGCTGACCTTGTCTCTCCCTCCACCACACTTCCTCCTGAGTTTGTCAAGATGGCTTCCCGAGAGACCGTCTGTCGCTAACGTCACTCTCGTGGTCCACAGGAGCCCGGCACCTGTGCGTGCGTGCCTTTGGTCACCATCCCTGACGCCTTCCTCCCTCCGCCTCTGCTGCCAGGCCTGCCCTTCAGCACCCCTCCAGGGAGCCCAGGAGCCTACCTTCTCGTCTCCATCACTACCAGGTTTGTCCAGGCTTCCTGGGCTGCCATGAGCCTCCAAACGGGTCTTCTTGCCCCTCTTCCAATTTGCTCACCTCTAGAATGCACGAGGAAGTGTCCCTGGCCCCTTGGAGCTCGCTCGTGAGTCCTCAGAGTCCCAGGGTGAAGTCAAGCTCCTTGGCTTCTCGTTCAAGGACCTTCGTGACTTGGCCTCCAGCCACACCTCCTATCATCTGCTCCGTGGCTCCGTGCGCCACCCAGCAGACCCCCCCACCCCGAGTCTGCGTGCGCCTGTGTCTCTGGGCATTTGCACCAGCTCATCCTCTGACCATCTTCTCATGGTGCTCAGTCACTGGGGAGTTTGTCCTGCCCCCCCCCAGGTGGCACGAGTCACCTCACACTCAGAACTGTGACATGGCCTTGAGCTCGACCTCTGTTCACAAACCTGCCCTGTTGCTTGGCCATGATCTGTTCAGACGTCTGCCTTCCCAGCCAGACCTGGAGCTCCCTGACTGGGGGTGCTCCATTTTGGGTGCCTCAGACCCCCTCACTGTCCAGTATAAACCCTGTGTGCAGTGGCTGATTCCTCAGAATGCTGGTTGAATGAAAAATTGGATGAATGCACAAAAGAGTGATTGTCAGGCCATACCGGGGGACAGATTACATCCCTGGCAGGGAACTGGGGTCCTTGGCGCCGAGGACTGGCACCTCCTCATTACGGAGGCTGGTCCACCCACTCCAGCCAACTCTGCGTTGCCTTCCGCCTGCGACTCATTAAGAGATATGTAACCTTAATCCTTGAAATTGTCCAGGATGGAGCGTGTTTTTCCTCAATGGCATGTACATGAGGATTTTGTTCCTTTCTTAAATAAATCTCACTCCCCCAGGAAGTTTGACAGGATGTGGGCAATCAGACCAGGGCTTGAAACGGAACGGTTTGCAAAAGGTCTGTTTCAAAATTTGAAACCCTGTGGCCCCTGGCCAGAGCCAAGCCTGGTTTGTGGGGGTCGCTGGGGCCTCCTCCCGAAGAAGGGAAGGGAAGATGGAAAACAAACCTTCAGCTGTCACTGAGCAGGCTGAGGCTTTGCGAGACAGAATTCCGCGGTTTGGTTCTGCTCCTCTGATGAAACTTGAGCAAGCTAGGTCGCCCTCTTCAGTTCTTTTGTCCAGCTTTCAGCGGAGGCCTCAACGCCTCCCAAAGCCAGAGGGGATCAACGAGACAAGTGTGTGAGTGCGAGAGGGACTGGGGCCCGGAGGGCAGAGATGCTTAGGGCAGGCCCAGGGACCATGCAGCCCTGCTCAGGGGACCACAGCCGTCAAAGGCTCCCCTTTCCCCGGGGACCAGAGCCCGGTGGGTCCAGACGTTGAGGAAAAAGAATAATGTTATATTGTGCACAGTATGTCTCCCTGTTTCGTCTGGAGATGAGTGACACCAGTTCATCATTGTGGAGACAAGGGTGCTGAGGCCTGGGGCGGGCAGCCCTGACTCTGTGTCCTGTGCTTTCCCAGCGCTTCTCAGTGGGCTGCTGACACAGAGCGAAGGCTGAGGCTGGGCTCCGGGCCCCCAGAAGCGGTGGCTGGTTGAGGCGGGAGGGCAGGCATGGGGCGGAAAGCCCTGGAGACCAGTGCTCAGTGTTCGAGCCGATGACCGCTGTCCCGCTGGCCCTGCTGTCCTCAGTGAGCGGACACTCGCCCCGAGGACAGGCCATTCTGTTGTCTCTGATTGTCTTTTGACCTCTCTTTTCTTTTCTCTGCCAGGAAGGATGGCAGTCTGTGCCTTTGGAGAAGTCACCAGGACCTTCCAAGTTCCACCCACCTCGTAAGTAAAAAAGTGAAAGTAAATTTAATTCATTTACTCTGCAAAAATCTGGAAGTGCCACGAGCTATGCACTAACGGTGAGCGTGTGGCCTGTGTGTGCAGCTCTGGCTACCGTGGGGCGGGGCCCCATCTCGGTCATGTTTTCTTCTCCTGTCCCTGCCCTTCCCGAGCCTCAGAGGTGCCGCCAGCTCCCCAGCACGGGAATCTGCCTGCTTGCCTTCTGGTCCCCACGTCTCCCCTCCACTGGCCGCCCAGGCTCGTGGGGGATTCTCGGTCTCCCCCAGGGACCTCCCAGAGGGTGATGGTTTCTTCCTCCCTCCATCTGAGGCTCAGCTGGAGCCGGTGACCGCCCAGCTTGGCCTCAGTCTCCCGATCCACAGACACGGAACAGGATGAGGAAACCGATCTCTCCCTCCCATTCTGCCCGTCGCGGAGAGAGGAGACATGTCTCCTGGTTTCCCTGCGGTCCTGACCCTCCTCTTCTCTGTCCTTCCAGGCCCTTGATCCTCGCTCGTCGTTTAGGGGCTGGCTTTGTCTTCTTTCCCCTCGGATGGTGGTTCTTCTACCGGCAGTGTCTTTTCAACGTGATAAAGTGAAAGTCCCGCTGTTCTGGCGGCTTCTGGACCACAGCCCCAGCAGCCGTCCCCGGGAGCAGCAGGAGCCGCCGGCGGCTGCCCGGAGTGGATGAAGGTGGGCCTGGGCACACGTGTCCCCGACGCAGTCTCCTTCTCCTCAGCTGTCCCCTCGCCTCTACTGCCCCCCAGGGCCCACTGGGCTCCTGGCCTCATTTACTTACGCACCCTCCTGTGGGGTTCTCTGAGGACTCCTGGTCTGAGTTCAGACTTCTCAAAGACCATTCGTCCAGCTCCCTCTGCCCCTGAGGTCCCCCTGTTGCTTTTCTGCAAGTCTGGGCATCTGCCCACCCCCACGCACCGCCCCCACGCACCGCCCCCCAACCCCTCTCTGCACTGTCCCTCCTCCATCTCCCCCTCAAAACTCCCACTGCTCTGCAGGTCACATATCCTAATATTTTGTACCCCAGTGAGCCGTGGGCCCACATTCCTTGGCTCGGCTGTTTATCCAGCTGGTGGGCACTCACTGGGCTTGGGGGAGCTGCATTTGAAGGGTGGGGAGGTCACCAAAGGAGACGCATTCCTTTCAGAGTCTCAGGAAAGGGAGCGCAGGGGCCACCAGGACCCTTGGATCCGAGTCCCTCACTTTGCGGAGCTCCCAGCTTCTCCTCGCAGGCTCTTTCTCCTCAACACCCCTTTCCAGGGACTGTGCTGGTGCCTGGCGTGGGGGCTGTGAGAGCTGGGGTGGGCTGGAGGGTGAGGCTCACCCCATGGCAGCACTCTCTGGGGTTCAGTGGGGCACGGGGAAAAGGAGTTTGGTGAGCTAGAAAGTACTGGGCAGGTGTTGGGGAAGCGAGGAAGGGAGAGGCCCTTTGTGGACCCCCGGCCATCTCTGCACGGCCCCCCGGGAGCCGCCCTCCCCTGGGCTGGCAGAGTCAGGGGGTGCCGCTGCGTCTTCCACTTCACCGAAGCCCCGAGTGTGGTGGGGGGTGCATTAGCAGCCCCCCTTGCAGGGAAGGAAACCGAGGCTCTGATGAGTGTGGTGGGGGCTGCAAACGATCTTTAGTGTCCTAGCTCTGGGTTGGAGCTCTGGTGGGTTTATGAATGAGCATTAAATCCTGAAAAAGTCGAATCAAGGGAATAAAACAAAAGAGCAATTGTGGACTGGTGATGACTGGTGTCCCAGAAGAAGGACTGTAATCAGCCCAGTTCCGTGTGTCCCTGGGTCCAGTAGACTCTGGTAACACTGACAATAGCAGCAACTTGGGCGGAAATCTGAGGGCACTGATCCGAAAGGCCAAGCCACAGGCCCGCTGTGCTCCTTATTTTGATGAGTATCCCGGCAGGCCAGAACCAAGGCCACCCTCTCCTTCCTCCCCTCCAGCCTGTTGCAGCCTGAGTTTCTTGCCCTTGCTCAGCTCGCACCTCCTGTCACCTCCACCCGGGCCTGCCCCTGGCGGAACTCCCGTGTTCAGTTCCGAAGCGGTTCATTTCACTTTGGACCCCGCGCGTCCTGGGGGTGGGGGCTGGCTCTGCGCCAGCTGCACGTCCCCGGCACTGGCCTCCCCACTCCCCAGCCAGCCCTCCACCGCGGCCGCCGCGCGCCCACACGGTTGGATTTGGTTTTGTGACTCAGCCCTCTTGTCTTGAAGGTCGTCCCGCCCAGAACCCTTGGAAGTGTGGCTGCTTGAGCAGAAGGCTTCCCGGGGACACCGCTGGTGGCTGGAGACTTGCTTCGCTAGGTGAGTCCAGCTTTTTCTGGTAACACTCTGAAAGCATCTGTGCCGGGGACTCAGGGCCAGGCTTGGTGGAGATAATGCAAAGACAACAGGTGATCAGAGAAGGGCTGTGTGAAGGCCTCGGGGGCCCGAATCCAGCTGGAGCATCGTCAGGCAGAGGCTGGGCCGCTTCTGGCAGCTGCTTCTCTGAGTGGAGGGTAGGACTGGCTGGTGAAGGCCCTCGGAAGTTGCCCAGGGCAGGGAGGTGAGGCCCGCAGGGGCTCGGCCCCAGACAGCCGACCAGACACCAGAGCCCTTTTTGGTGGCTCCAGCTGGGGCAAGTAACCTTCACACCCCTGTCCCCAGGGAGTCTCTTTTACAGATTATGCAGATAATTGCATTTGGTTAACTCCCTTCTGTAACGGGGAACGAATGAGGGGGAGCATGTGAGGTTTTCCCATAAAAGATACTAAACTAATTACAATTTATCGAATGTAAGAATTCTTAAAAAAAGAAATACATGTTTATAGTAGAAGTTTGTACAATGCTAAAAAAAAAAAAAGAACAAAAGGACGAATAGGAATCAACCCTGGTCTCACCACTCAGAGATGACCCCTGCCAACATTTTGGTAACCAGCTTCTGGTCTTTTGTTTTTGCCTATGAATTGCGTGAGTGTGAGTGTGTGTGTGTGCGTGTGTGTGTGTGTGTGCATGTGTGTATGTTATGTTCAGTTAGGTTCATCACACTCATCCTAAGTTTTCACCTAACGCCACACCTTGAGCGTTGTCCTGTCGTCAAGTAATTTCCCGCCCTGTGATTTTTTTTAAGGTTACATCATGTCCTAGGGGGTGACTATATCATCGCTGACCTAAATGATCCACTCTTGCCAGATGTTTAGATAATTTTTAAAAGTTGGGTGGTGTAAGTTGGGGTGAGCAACTTTGTCACTCCATCTTCACATTTGTCTCTGATTTGTTTCCTGCAGTGCCTTCTAAGAGTGGAATGGGCGTGTCAAAAGATGTGAGCGTTGCATGGCCACATTCCCCTCCCTTAGACTTTGCACCAACTTACATTCTCAGAATTAGTTTAAGAGGTGATTGTTTCTCTGGGAATTATCAGGGTTTTCAACATTTTCCAATTTGTCAACACATGCTATTTCATTCTTTTCACTTCCAGTTCTTATTACTCGTGATAAGAGCTTCCCCACTGTGCCTTTACTGGTTCTTTGTATCTGAGTTGCCAGTTTGGGTTCTTCCCATTTTTCATTTAATTTTATTTTTGTCAAAGTCATGCATATGCATCATTTTAAAAGTCAAATAGTTTTACAAGATTCGGTAGGAGCCTCAAGTCTTCCAGCCTTCCCTGCTCCAACCCTATAGTCTGCTCCACAGAAACAATAGCTTTTAATTCTTTTAACTGATTCTTTTGACACTTATATCCATTTTTCTAAGTAACATTCTTATTTTTCTACTTCTCAACACATTTTTTAGCTTAGGCATTATCTTGCCTTTTCAGCCACAGAAGAGGAAGATTTGACTTTCTTTCACAAGTGCCCTTGGCCTCAGCACACACAAGAGTAGTCCTGTCTCTCATCCTTTCAGTATATTTAGTTCACAGTTTTGGTTTGATCAATATTCAGTGTTTACATTATTGTAACAGTGTTAACACCCTTGACGGCTGAACAACAGCATATGATTATTTACTTCTCCTTATAGCCTTCTGTTTTCTCTGGAGTTAGTAACTGTCTTGTTGTTTGTTTCTTTTTTTCTTCTCTCTTTGATTGGTGTGTTAGTTTTTAATGAATTTATCAAAGATTTATCCAAAGCCTCTCAATACGTTCAGACATATTAGTGTTTCTTGTTTTTATTTAATGTGTTTTATCTTTCTGAGGAAAACTCTTCCTGGAGCCTTCCTGCCTGGATTGGTTGACCATTGGGCTTCCTGCCCTTATCTTAGAGTCTCCTTCTTGTTCTTTCCCCTGGGGATTTCCTTAACCATCTCATCTTGGTTGGATCCCTGATTTTGTAAATCCTGTGTTACCCTCTTTTTTGTTTATTCCCTTGTTTTGCTAAAGTGCATCCTCTAGACGTTTCCTGAGAAAGGATTCATGGAAGGTAAATTTTTGGAAACCTTTCACATGAGAAGGAAAAATGTCTAGTCCTCACTGGCATTGATAGTTTGGCTGGGTGTAGAATTCTAGTTTGTAATCTTTTCTCCCCTGCACCCCCAGATTTGGAAGCATAAATAATTGTCTTCTAAATTCTAGCATAGTTGATGAGAAGTCTGAAAACTTTGTGATTCCTCATCCCTTGTATGTGATCTACCTCCTCTCCCTTTCTAGAAATTATAGTGTTTTCTTGTTGTCTTCTGTACTTTAAATTTTATGTGTATGTGTCTGGATTTGGATCTATGTTCATTTTGCAAGGCCCTTTTGATCTGAAGTCTTGGGTCCTTCAGCTGTGGAAATGTTTCCTGAACAATTCCTTGGTTCGTGTCCTCCCATGTGTTTTCTCTTTCTAGAACTTGCCTTGTTTGTATGTTGATCTCTTTGAATGCTTCTCTAATACTCACATATTTTCCCTCTGATTTTCATCTCTTAGTTTCCTTGTTCTCTTCCTGAGAGGTTTCACTGTCTTCCTCTTTTGACCGCTTTCACTTCTGCAATCTCTGATTTTCAAGATTTTTTGTTATACCCTAAGTATTATTTTATA